TAATCGGGATGGGTGTGTCAGAGGCAATGCGATTGGCACAGGATAGAGCAGGGTTTAGGGCTGTTGTACATAGGGTCGCTATGAATCGCAAACAATTGATGGCACATAACAACAACAACAAGAAGAAGAGCGTAGAACTAACAGTGAGGAAATCCAGCTATGCATTTTACAGAAATTATTATCATTATCTAGACTTACTAGATATTTTTAGAAGCATTGGATTTTTGTTGTTATTGTTTGGTGCCATCGAATCAACTATGACTCATCACAACCCAGTGAACAACAGATCTGAATCTTGCCCTGAAGCCATTATTATAGTCACTGTGTAAATCCATCTTGTTGGAGGTCTCACTCTCTTTCTCTTACCCTCTGCCTTTCCCAGCATGGACTGGCCCCTCCTCACAACTTGCACAAAAGTATGTAAGACAAAGTTTTACCACCCTTTATTCTAAGGAGCAGCCTAGTTGCTCTTTGTCCAAAATTGGTTCTTTTGCCAGTCCATGGGATATTCAGTACTCCTCTCCACCGCCAGAACTCAAAGGCATTGATTCTTCTTCTAGTATCTTTATTCATTGTCCAAAACTATCAGTTGTTTAGAAAGTAATTGAAAAGTAATTGGCTTGGATCAAGGGTTCCTTAGTTTTTAAACTGACATCCTCGAGCTTTAAAACTATTTAGTATGTCTTGCCAGTGGGATTGAAGCCTAGATTTGTATCTTTTTTCAGTATCATTAATTTGTGAACATGAAATTTAGAATAATTCTCATGAAAAGCTTTGACTCTTTTCTTTTAAAAGAATGCACATAATTTTATTTTCCATTGCTTTTTAAAAATGGTGATTTTAATGATAATTTACGGAAAAGTTGGGTTTTCATTCATTCATTGATGCTTGTTTTTCCTCCCTCCCCCTTCCTCCTCTGTTCCATTACTCCAGTTCACTTTTTAGTGCACTTCTTGTTCCAGAGTTTTAATTGCTTTACATACATACAATGCCTAATCATACATTCCTTTCAGAGAGTCCTTTCCTTCATCTGTTCCACACTTTTCCTATTATCCCCTCAAACATCCGTGTCAGTTGTATTTTATAACAGCAGTTTTATGCAGTATTTGTCCTTTTGTGACATATATTTCACTCAGCATAATATTTTCCATGCTTGCCCATGGAGTGTAACATTTTATCAATTCATTGTTTTTCAGTGTTGTGTAATATTTCATTGTGTGAATATACCATAGTTTTTCTATCCAGTTATTTGTTGTTGGGCACCTGGATTGCTTCCACCACTTTGCTATTGTGAATAACACAGCAATAAACATGAGTGTTTGAGTCACAGCTCTAGTTTCTTTAGGGTATATTTCTAGTAGTGGGATTGCTGGATCATATGGTATTATTATTTGCAACCTTTTGAGAAAGATCTAGACAGACCGCCTTTCATAGTGGTTGTACCACTTTACATCCTTGCCAATACATGTTGTTTGCTGCTCTGTTGAACTTTACTGGAGTGAGAGGATATCTCATTGTTGCTTTGATTTGCATATCTAATAGCTAAAGATTTTGAACCCTTCATGTGTTTGTTGGCCATCTGATTTTCTTCTTTGGTGAAGTGCCCATTTAGTGATTGGTTTGTTTGTCTTTGTCTTGTTGAGGTGCTAGAATATTCTATAAGTTTTAAATATGAGTCCCTTATCAGATACATAATACTTTTAGAGATCTCTGGTGGCTTCTTGTTATGTGCCATCAAGTCTACTGCATCTCATGCACAATAGCTCTGAACCCTGCCCTATCCTGAGCCAATCTCTCTGTCCCCTCGACTACTCCAGATACTGTGTCAATTTCATCTAGGGTCTTCCTCTCCTGCACTGTGCCTCTACCCTTCTAAGCATGATATCCTTCTCCAAAGACTGGTCCTTCTTGGAAACCTGCCGAAAATATGTGAGATGGAGCTTCACAATCCTTATCTCCAAGGAACAACTTGGTTTTACCCTCTCCAGGACAAACCTCTTTGTTTTCATGACAGTCCATGTTATGCTCCATGCTGTAATCCAGCACCACAACTCAAAGACATCTATTCTTTTTCTGTCATCCATAGTCATTGTCCAGCTCTCAGATGCGTAGCAAGTAATTAGAAGACCATGGCCTATATGAGGTGCACTTTAGTCTCTAGACTTATATTGTTGGTCTTCCGCACTCTGGAGTGGTTTCTGACTGCAGATTTTCCTAATGCAATTCATCGTTTGATTTCCTGCCTGCTGGTGCCATGAATGTTGATTGTAGAAATGGTGGCTTAGAGGTAAGGAATTGTGCTGTCAACTCAAAGGCGCATGGCTTGAATCTGCCAGCCGCTCTGTAGAGAAGGATAGGTTATCAACTTCCATGTGATTTATTATCTCTGAAAAGCTGCTGGAGGGTCAGCCATGAGTCAGTTCCGGCTCAATACTACACCACCACCACCAGCACAACAACAATAACATACTTTTAAGGAACTAAAGTATGTTTACATACATAGTTGAATGCTTAAAATTATGAAGCTATATGTACATGAAGCTTTGTTGGAATATTTATAATAACTTGTAAACAAGGGTAATCTTTACTGAATTACTGTATACTTTATAAATTCTTGACAATTTCTGTGACAAGTGATCTGACAACTTTTCTAAATCTGACTACAAAAATATGCCCAATGCTTTAAGGAAACATCTCTACATCTATGTTCTGCGTCACTTCTGAAAATAGAAGCAAGAGGAGACTGCAGATAATGAAGTAGAAACAAAAGCATCCAGCTTTTGAACAAACAATAAGAAAAATACAAACTTCAGTTTTAAAAAGGAGATTTTTTGAAAACAAGAATTCTATCTGTATCTCAAAAAAACGCAACGAGTAAATCTCAGGTTGCTTTATGTAATGCCTACACATTTGGTAAGAATATAGTCACTCATTTGTTATGTTTTCTAATGAATGGCAAACATCTGTATGCTACAAGCTCCAAATTTGACTAAATTTCCACTTTTCATCCTTGAATCTTGATGTTATATACGTAATATATCTATAAAAGTGTTAAATGAATAATACCACCAGTCAAAATTTGAAAAAAAAAAATGCCGTTTATTTTTAATCCTTTTTTTGTACCACATGCAAATACATAAAGTGTCCCAAATCCTTACTGGAAAAGTGGTAAAGAACATGAACTGGCAGTTCACAAAAGAAGAATAACAAGTGGCTGAATGAAAAAGAATACAGATTGTTAAGGCACTGGCCTTGGAGGGAAGTATGCGGATCTTTATTTGAGAAAAGAAAGACTTTTATTTCTCTTATTGAAGGAAGATTTGGTATTGAGTAGATGCATTAGAGGAAAGGAAATCTTCAAAGATAACTGTTAGGAACACAAGTTTGGGTGACTGCATGATAACTGTAATCTATAATAAGTAGAGGAGGTTGATTTTGCATGTGTAGAATCTGAGATGCCTTTGGTAACTTTCAACTCAAACTCAACATTGCCATCAAGTAGGAACAACTCATAGCTGACTGTCCAGAAGATTTTCAGAGGCTGTAAATCACACAGGAGGAGCTTATTTATCATTCTCCCTCTAAGGCAATGGTGGATTTGAAGTGCCTGCCTTTGGGCACAATTCTTTACCATCAAAGCTCTCTTTGGGACATTTAAGCAAACTAATATAGAAAGTCATTGAAAAATTGAGTCTAGAGCTCAAAGTAAGAGCAGAATTCATTCGGGAACCAGAGACATATGGATTGATACCTTTCTTTTCTGTTTTAAATCTGATTTAATCTTTGTAACTATTTGGAAGATGCTATAGCCTATTAAGAGAAAAGTGCCTAATTTCAAATAGTTTATTGTTAGTACTATTCCACCTCAGAGATTCTGATTTGGCCTGTGGTTTGGTGTTGTTTTTTCCTTTTTTTTTCTTGGTTGTTGTTGTTGTTCCTGGACATTTCTATTTGCAAATGGTCAAAAGTTAAGTCTAGTCCCTTGGGTCTTCCTGTCCAGAATTAAACCTACTAACTTTTAGTTCATTAAGGTACAAAGGGAAAAAATGTCAATTTTTGCTTATTTCATTCCATCTGAGGAGATGAGGGTAAATGGTGGCTGCCCCTCCATCAGTGATTTCCATGGAGTCAGAATCAACTTATAGCTGACTCTCCGGTGAATTTTCAGAGTTTATAAATGGCAGAGGAGGAGATTGCCTATGCTTCTCTCTTGGAGCAGCTGGTGTACCCAAATCACCTGCCTTTTGGGTGGCAGCACAGCTCTTTATCCAGTAGGTCACCAGAGCCCTCAAATTTGAGAGGAAGAAAACACTTGTGAATTGCCATATATGTGCTAAATGCCACAACATTTTTTTCCCATTGAATTATGAATTCCGTAGGAGTCTAAATGCCATAGTATAACTGACTTGGCTGCATTTCCAATCTATTGTAGAATTTTAGAGTTAGACGAAACCATAGAGATCGCTTAAGTTAAACATCCCTTCCCACATAAACTGTATAAATGTATAAGCTGAGATACTATGAGGTTAGGGTTGGTTTTTTGTGTTTTTTTTTCCCTCAAGGTCATGTAGTTAGTGACAAAAGCAGTTCTAAAATACAATTTCCTGATTCTACTCTGTCCAGTATGTTCTTTTAGCCACTATTTTCCAAGAATGAATTTTTTTATACTTGTTAACATTACAAATTCCCTCAATCCATTTTATTTGAATAGTTTTAAAATGTTGTTCTTAATTGCCGTCGAGTCGCAGGCGACTAATAGAGACCCTATGAAGGAGAGTCCTCGACGCTTGGGTCCCTTTCATCCTCTCTCCAGGTTCATAGAGTTTCCGGAGGCAAGCTATTAAGTTTTAAAATAGTTAACATTTTTTTAAACTAGTATATATGACATAAAACCCTGATCTTCAAATGTTTGGTATTTTTTATTCAATTTCTAGCTGTTGTTGTTATATGCCATTGAGTCGCTTGCGACTCATAGCCACCTTATGTACAACAGCCCTGCTCTATCCTGTGCCAATCGCATTGCCTCTGACACACCCATCCCGATTACCCCAGTCACTGAATCAATCCACCTCATAGAGGGTCTTCCCCTCCTGCGCTGTCCCTCCACCCTCCCAAGCATGATGTCCCTCTCCAAGGACCTGTCTCTCCTTATAACATGTCCAAAGTATGTCAGACGAAGCCCCAGAATCCTTGCCTCCAAGGAGTAGCCTGGTTTAACCCTCTCCAGGCTGAATCTGTTTGTTTTCTTGGCAGTCCATGGTACATTCAGTACTCTTCTCCAGCACCACAGCTCAAAGGCATCAATTCTCCTTCTATCCTCCCTAGTCATTGTCCAACTCTCTGATGCATAACAAGTGATTGCAAAGACCATGGCCTGTATCAGATGCACCTTAGTCTCCAGAGAGACACCGTTGCTCTTGAGTACTTTAGAGAGGTCCCTAACAGCAGACTTTCCCATGGCAATACGTTTTTTTATTTCCTGGATGCTGGTGCCAAGGGTGTTGACCGTGGAGCCTAGCAAACTGAAGCTGTGAACAATCTCAGTCTCTTCGCTATCCATCCTGATGGTACCAATTGGTCCAGTGGTGAGAGTCTTTGTCTTCTTGACATTGAGCCTCAGTCCATACTGAAGGCTGCAGTCCTTGACCCTCCACAGCAAGTGCATAAGGTCCTCCTCAGTTTCAGCAAGCAGGGTTGTGTCATCTGCACAACGCAGATTGTTAATAGATCTTCCACTGATCCTGACGCCACAGTTCTCCTCATAGAGCCCAGCGTCTCAGATAATCTGCTCTGCATAGGTTGAAAAGGTATGGAGATAGGACACATCCCTGGTGTACACCCTTCCCAATTTTGAACCATGCAGTGTTAGCCTGCTCTCTTCTGACGACTGCCTCTCGGTCCAAATATAGGTTTCGCATTAGCATGATTAAATGTTCTGGTATTCCTATTCTTCTCAGGGTCAGCCACAGTTTATCATGATCCACACAGTCAAATGCCTTTGCATAATCAATGAAACACAGATATATGTTCTTCTGGTATTCCCTGCTTTCAGCTAAGATCCATCTAACATCAGTTACAATATCTGCAAATGGCAAATACTTTTTGTAGTCTTTTTTTCCTCCCCTTTTTAATAGCATGTGCTCATAACATTCTAGTCTTCTTAGTGACAGATAATGGCCCATTTGTTTCAATCTTTATTATCATTGACTTTTCTTCAGGTATGAGATTGTATTCCAACAGCAGGTGGGAACTTCGGATATTTTCCTTGGATTTACCAGAAAAGACTCTTCTACAGCATGCTGTGAGGAACTTGTGGTAAGCCTGTGTGCCCTTGACTAATTTTCTGTATAATCATTAGAGCTAAGTTGAATGAATGTTGTTCATATAATGTTGTTGTTGTTGTTAAGTGCCGTCGAGTCGCAGACGACTCATAGCGACCCTATGAAGGAGAGTCCTCGACGCTTGGTTGCCTTTCATCCTCTCTCTAGGTTCATAGGGTTCCGGAGGCAAGCTATTATGGAAGTGGATGCCACTCCTCCCTCCAAGCTTGTTTTAATCAGGGAGCTCCACCCCACTCTCTGTTTGCATTGGATAGCCAACCATTAACGCATTTGACACATCAGTGTCACAGTGTTAGCTTCACAGCAACCACAAGTGACCGCAGTATGGCAACTTGTACACCAAGGCTATACGACCTAGAGGAATGTCTGAATATAATACTGTAGGCAAAAGACTGTACACTCTTTAGAAATCACTGGATCGATAAGCAACATCTTGACAGACAGAGGAAAATATTGAAGTTGTCAATGATTTTGTTTTACTTGGATCCACAATCAACACCCATGGTAGTATTGGTGTTGTGTGTTGTTGAGTTGGAACCAACCTATAGCTTACTTTCCAGCAGGTTTTCAGTGAATCGTATGGGAGGAGATTACCTGTTGGAACAGCTTCGAACTATGTGTCTTTGGTATTGCAGTGCAGTTTCTTACTACTAGGCTATCAGAACTCCCAATATGGTAGTGTTAGTTGTTGTTATATGCTGTTGAATTAGAACTGACTCAGTAAACCCTACTATGAGTTTTCAGAGGCAGTAAATTACATGGAAGGAGATTGCCTATTGCTGGTGGATTCAAACCAAGTACCTTTGGGTTGGCAACATAGCTCCTTACCACTAGGCCACCATATACTGCTATACCATGATAGTAGTAGTCAGAAAATCAAAAGACATGTTGCATTGGGAAAGTCTGCTGTCAAGGACCTCTCTAAGGTGCTAAATAGCATTCATTGATGTCAGTTTAAAGATTCAAGGTCCGCCTGGTCCAACCCATGGTATTTTCTATTGCTTTCTGTGCATCTGAAAGTTTGACAAAATGAAGAAAGATGATAATAGAGGAAGAGCCAGTGCATTTGAATTGTGGTATTGGAGAAGATTTCCATGGATTGCCAAAAGAACAAGTATGTCTGTTTTTGAGGAAGTGCAACCAGAATACTCCTAAAAGGCAAGGATGATGAGATTTCATGTTGTCAGGGGGGGCCATTCTTTGGAAAAAGACCACTTGCTGGTGAAGGTGGAGGATCAGAGAAAGAAAGGAGACCCTCAACTAGATTCATTAACACAGTGACTTTAACAGTGTGCTCAAGTGAATTAGAGATAGTGAAGATGGCATATAATAACAATATTCTGGTACTGGGAAAGTAATGACCTCAAAAAAAGGAAGGAATGTGTGAAACACAATGTATGTGAATTTTTTGTGTGAAAACCATATTTTTTTAATCACCTAAAAAACTCATTGCCATTAAAGTGGAACTGACTGATAGCTGACCCTCCAGTGGGTTTTTGAAGACTGAAAATCACATGAGATGAGCTTGCTCATACTTTCCCCTTGGAACCACAGGTAGATTCAAAACTGCCAGAGAGGTGCCATGTTTGGATTAGCAGTGCGACTCCCTGTGGACCACGCTGTCAGAGCTCCTCAGTAATGACCTAGACAGTTTAAAATTGGTAAACACACTCCAGAATGAAGGCTGAACAGTGGAGTGGACTTTGGGGGAGGAATTGCATAACAATGAAAGAGTTTTTCTTTTACTTTTCAAGGAGAAGAGTGATTGGGGGGTGCAGGGAGAGAGTGAGCAGGGAGAAAAGTGAAACAATGAATGAATGGAAACCCTAAGTCTCTGTAAACTTTCATTAAAATTAATAAAAATAAAATAAAATTGGTAAACATATACAGATAAGTAATAAATTTAGTTTGTATATGCAGGTAAGATTCAATAAAATATTTATAGCCCTACTAAAACTGCCAAATTTGTTTGGGATGACTTTTTCTTTTTAAATCCTAGCCCTATACATGCCACATAATTGGTTATTAAGTTCTGATGAATTGACAGGCTATTATAATGAACTATTTTCTTTTAGAAATCTGTCTTATCTCTTATTTCATTAAATGACTGAAATTGCATTGAAAGTTTTAAAAAGGGATTTTCCTCTTACTTGGGTGATCCAAATTTCTAATATAAAATAAGACATCTAAAAAGTTGCTTATCTCCCCACCCCTCGCCCAAACAACACTTCAGCATGATGGACAAGTATCCTTGCCAAGTTGGTTCTTCTATAAATATTCGTGACAACACCTGTAAAATCAACCATATTGCCTTACTTCTGCTCATTTTTCCTAGTTTTAACCTTGTTAGAAAACCTGAACCTACCCAGTTTAGGTAGCAATCACTTGCTATGCATCTGAGTTGGACAATGAATAAGGATGACAGAAGAATTGATACCTTTGAGTTGCGGTGTTGGAGAAGAGTACTGAACATCCTATGGACAGCCAAAAGAACAAACAGATATGTTTTAGAAAGAATGCATCCAAACTGCTCCTTGGAAACTTCATCTTTCATACTTTGGACATGTTGCTAGGAGAGGCTATTCTTTGAAGAAGCATATTGTGCTTGGAAAGGTGAGAGCCGGCAAATGTGAATCAATGATGTGGATTGGCACAGTAACTACAGCAATGAGCTCCAGTGTATCAGGGATGATGAGGATGGCAAAGGATAAGACAGGATTCAGATCTGTTGCTGATCTATAAATCATACTAGATTTGCCAGCACTTAACAACAACTACCTTGCTAGAGAGTGAAATGAGATTTATCTTGGAAGCATACTTCTGGAGATGAAAATGTCTTTGAGCTCAGAAACTACACATCCACTATTCCCGCCTCTCCCTCTTACAATAGTCTACATGACAGAGTTGTTATTGTTGTTGTGTGCTCTTGAGTCAGAACCTACCCATAGCTGATCCTCCAAGGGGTTTTCAGAGGCAGTTAATCACACGACAGGAGATTGCCCATCATACTCCTGTGGAGCAGCTAGTGGCCTCAAACCACGTGCCTTCAGGATTGCAGTGCAGCTTCTTACCACTAGGCCACGTGACAGAGTAGGTAAACTACCAAGTACTGTCAATTCTGACTCACAATAAGCATATGTGTGTCAGAGTATAACTATGCGCTATAAGGTTTTTAGCTGCTGATTTTTCTTCAGAAGTAGACTGTCAGATCTTTCTTCTGAAGCTCCTCTAGGTGAACTGGAACTCCCACCGTTAGGACTCCAGTCAAACCCTTTAACTCTTTGTACAACACAGGGATGGACCCCAAGGTGTTCCTAGAGGATGCTTAATGTATTTTCCTTGATCAAACAGTAATGAGATATCTCTTTCACCTGAACTCCAAGTTCTATCTTATTAGAAAAGGAAAAAATCCGAGCTATCCAACTGAATCAAGTAACATAATGGAAATAGTGACTTTAAGAATCTCAGGAGAATTTTTAAGGTTTTAAGTAGTCTTCAAGTAATTAGCTCCCAATATAAAATTTATCAAATTCTTCTGTGTAAAAGTGTGCTTTGGATATTTAGTGCTGAGGATTGCTTTAAACTTTGGAGACATTAGAGACCTTAAATAAAGAAAACTATTATGACCCTTTCCCATTTCTCTTTGAACTTGCTACTAGTTTTGCTAATACAGGTATCTTTAATGAAGTGTCTTGCAAATGAAATCATACCTTAGAAATAGTAGCATATAATTTACATTAAATTTAACAAATGTGTATAGAAGAAGAGTTAATACTTTACTAAATTTATAATCGACTGGGGGGGACGACAAAGACACTTGTTTTTTTGTTAACAATTCTAAGTATACTAAGAATGTGCTGCCAACCCAAAGGCAGGTGGTTCAAATCCACCAGCTTCTCTGTGGGAGAAAGATGTTTATTCTCCTTCCGTGTAAATTACAGTCTCTGAAAACCTGCTAGAGGGACATCTGTGATTTGGTTCCAATTCAACAGCATGTAACAACACAATGATAGTGTGGATAAGTGTTAGACTAAGACACCACCAGGGAGATCTGGCAGCCTAGTGGCAAGAAGCTGCACTACAATCCTGAAAGCATGTGGTTCGAATCCACCAGCTGCTGCACGGAAGAAGGATGGGCAACTCCTGATTAGCAATTAACTGCCTCTGAAAACCCACCAGAGGGTCAACTATAGGTCAGTTCTAACTCTGCGGTACACAACAAAGACAACAAGACACCATTGAATGAAATGAAACATTTGCTAGTCCTGTGGTACTTTACTATGTGTATGTTTTCCTTTTCTTCATTTATACCTTCACTAAATAGTTGAGAAATAGTATTACTTACCAGGGCAAGCACTAGGGATGCAAAGATAAATAAGAAACAGTTAGTTGCCCTCAGGGAGTTTAAGAAGATACACACTTAACAAATCATTTTAGCTCAGTATGACAAGCACGTATCTAACAAGCACATGATGACATAAAACAGAAAGCTTAACTTTGAGTGGACAGGATTTCTATAGTGAATAACAAAGAGGGTACGATGTAGAGGTAAGATGTAACATGCAGAGGTAAGAGAATGTGGTAAGGTATTGAGGCATAAAATAGCATGTGTTACTGAGTAAGAGGTGAGTAGAAGAAAAATAATGAACAAGTGTGGTTAGTGGTGTACTAATAAACTGTCTCAAAAAAATGAAAAAGAGAGTCTTAATTTGTAGCTTGGATTTTATCCAGAAGGCATATTAATGCTGACATCTGCTGTCATTGCTTAACCCCACCAGTAAGATCCAAACTAAAGAGGTTGTTGACCTCATATCAAGTGTTTCTTGTTCAAATTTATAAGCTTATCATTCCTACTTACAATATGGCATTTCTTCAAATCTGAGACACCATCAGTTTGTAAATGTGCCATTTATTTAATAACAGCTTTTTTTAGGGGGGAGGGAATGGCACACTACTGTACTCATTGATTGTGTG